GAGGGCGAGAATCTTCAAGCAGACTCCCCGCTGAACCTGGGGAGGAAACAGGCTGGATCTCATGACCCATGAGATCATGACCTGAGCCGAAACCAAGAGTCGGACACTTAACCAACCGAGCCACCCAGGCGCCCCATAAAGTCAACTGATTATAAATGTTAATCACATCTTAAAAAATACCTCTGCAGCAACATCTTGTCTGGGTACCCCGGCCCGGCCAATTTGACACATAAAATTAACCATCACACTAGCCAAAAGTCAAACATCTTCAGAGTAGAAAAATTTATCATTGACCTCTGTGTTGAATAGAATGCGGTGAAGTCAAGACATTCTGGGTTTTGTTGTTTTTAGTTTTAGGCTGAAAGTGCCAGTATTTGACCATTTTTGATCTGCAAAAAACGGGTAACTGGGTGTGGCTCAATACAATATTTAGGCTTTCCAGCAGTTGCAATGATGCTGCCATCATCACGCGGATGCCTAATCAGAAAACAACCTTCTCTTTATAAAGCTGATTTCTTTGGAATACCCCTAGGACTTAGCACAAAGTGATGCCCTTTGCTGAAGAAATGTCTGATTAAGGAAAATGACAGCAAAACTCAAGCTATCTATAACCACACTTGAAATTCCGTCTCCCCACAATGGTAAACCACTGGTTTGAACTTTTTCATTTAACAGTGACACAAATGAAAAATGCACAAACTGCATTTTGAATTACTTTTCCATAAGGGAGATTATACCTTAAGTGAATGAATCCCAAACACACTTTTTCAAAGTATTATAACTAAGAAAAGCATCATGTTTTGATAAACAGTCCTTGAAATACTTCATATGCATGAATTTAAATAAAGGTGTATTTAGTGTTAACGTTAAGAATTAACAAAGGCATGCTTTTCGATTTTCTGGAAGTAGGTGAAAAGGACTGCCGACGCTGCAAATCGCTGTTCAGTTTCTCTCTCTGAAAGTGGGAGAGCCTTAAAACAGGAAAGCCAAAGGTAAAGAGGGAATTTTCCTATTGCCCTGAAAGAGGTGCTGTGAGATACATAAAACATGTTTTCTACAATTGATTCCCGCTCAGATTATTAACTGAATCCTCAGATAATGTCGCTCTCCGCATTGCTGTTTCACTGATGGAGTTTTAGACGAAGTGGTGTGTGTGTTTTGTCCAGAGAGCTGTCAAGGGAGGGTTTTCAGCAAAATTTTAGACAAAGAGCCTAAAGGAAGCTTCTGAAAGGATAATTGATAGTCCCGGCAGACAGCAAGTGTTAAAGAAATGCTTAATGCCAATCTTATCTTACACGAACAAGAGAAGTTATTGTTTATACATTCTAATCGCCTTTTTGGAATTTTTTTTTGGACGCTCACCTGGATTAGTTTTGATGCAGGATCTTTCGGCTTTTTTTTTTTTAATTTATTTACAGTTTCTATCCTTCCTTTAAAGGTACAAAAGTTTTAAAACAAAACAAAAGAAACCCTGGAACTTTACATTTCGTTTCAACAACAAAGTATTGTCCTCGAGTCCGCTATTAGAATCGTGTATTTACCCAATGAGAAGATATTTAAAATTCAAAGTGAAAAGAAAAAGTTATACCAGATAGAAATGTATCATCTATTAAAATTTCAGGAAGATCTACATTATCTAAAGCCATTCTATAATTTTATTCATATATTTTGTGGAGTTCACATATCTTTTTCTTACAGCAAACATAACACTGTAGGCCACGAGAAGCTGCAGTACTATTGTTTCATTAGCAGCAAATTAATATTTTATATCTGGGTAACTGGACAATAAATAGCCTGCTTCTTTGGATGTGGATGTTTAAAATGTAGTATCACTGCAGCTTCATAATGTGATTGCTATTTTACAGAGCTTATACACACACAAAAAATATGATCTTTGTCTATATTTTATACAAATACAACAGTAGTTTGTGAATACATTTTAAGTACATGATATACATGATAAGCCACTTGATTTCCCAATATCACAGAATAGCGATTTTAAATGCAATAAAAATATACAAAATTCAGCCTGGAATGCAGATTTTTCTTTTCTATTTTGACTCAAAACTTTATCATTAGAACATTTTTAGAGTACTAGTCCAAACACTTTTTCGTCAGCTAAAAATACAATTTCAGCAGTCCAGCTTATGTTCAGGCATGATGCAATCCATTTCCTAATGGATTCCCAGTTTTTGTTAAATTCAAAGGGCTGTTAGTAACATACAGCATGTTCTTCACTCCACACCATATTATAAAGCCCACTTTTCATTCTGAGTTATAGTCACCTTGTGGACAAAAGCTGGGTTTGTTCTGATAACATTTGCACGTCCAAGATTTCCTTTTGCAAGTGCACGTGAATACATTGTGGTGGGTGGTGTAAAAGTCTGTTAATGACAGATTAAGTCACAGTATAAAAATATATTGAACACCTTTACGCCTAATGGAGTCCTTTTTTTCCTATGGCTAAAAAATATGACTGAACGAGACAGAGACGTTTGTAGCACCATGAAGAGTTGTATCCCAAGTTACATTAGCAGCATGATCCAACATAATATTGAAGGAGTGTTTCTGAGAAGATAAACATTCATTCTGGTTCATCTGTACCACTGAAGCTTATACAAGGAAGTGTTTTATACATTAGCAATAGTTCTGTCATTTCTAGAGCTAGATAAACTTCTCAAAAGACACTGCCTTTCCATCCTCAAAGGGTTGATAACGGAGAAGGGCCTAAGGGTGATGATCTAAGTGTGCCTTTACCAAGTGGGCAGTATCAGTTTGTTTTATGTGATCCAAAAGGCGCTCCATATGGGTTTCTAGCACAAAACTACACAAGGCGACTTATGTGGATCTATGGAATCATAACAGACTATCTTTGTTGTAGACACGGCTGCTGACACAGTGTGAGAAAAAGAAGACCAAGTCAACTTAGGCACTATTTGTCAGAGATAACAGTCCACTATTGCTAATGAAGAATACTCGACATTTAAAAGACCTCCTCCAATGTCACATGGATCTCAGTAGGCTAGAAGCAACTTGGGCGAACTGGTATTTTTTAATTTACATACTGGGAAGACAGTGTGTTTTGAAACACGTAAACCTTGTAAAAAAATAAACCATTGTAAAACCTTATGAAAAGACACACACTGATTCTGTGCAATATAGCAAATTGATAAGAAAACACTGTAAAAATGTACCTGTTTAAAATACCATCTACCATTTTTGAACACAAAGCATTATATATCAAAGGCCTACATATATATCATCTAATGGCACTTGAAACAAATTATAATAAGTCTTAAAATAAAAGGCATAACCTATAAGAAAGTTTCTGTAAAGGTTTAGATTCGTTTTGAAAGTGCTATATCTTGTAATATGTGTAGTATAGAGGTTGACCAAGCTCTATTTTTAAAAAAATATTGGCCTATATATGTGTATTGCTTACTAGATGAATGATCCTGAAATATGTACTCTTTAACATTCATTATTAGCTTAATAAAGCAATCAGCTCTGGCTCATGTTTCAGTCAGTATATGGTTTTTAAAAACCGCTACTGTCCAAATTAACACAATATATCACTATATTCCACAAATGACTAAGAATAATAAAGCACAAGCAACAAATAGGCAAAAATACATAGCTTGGAAGAAACACTAAGTGAAGTTTAAAAGTTGCACAAAGAGTGGTGTGTAATCAGCCAGGACAACTGAAGTTTCTGAAAACAGCACTTGGTAATAGGATTTTAAAATGTGAATTTTAACAGTGACCAATAACTATAAAGATGGTATTTGCATACATCAGTGGATAATATTGCTTACAGTGCTGAGACCCTTCCACACTCATGCTTTTGTGTCTGGTGATTGAATTTGTACACACGTGTGGAAGTTCAAACTGAATGAGGTTCAATATCTTGTCTGAGGTCCAAATTCTAAACTGAAATATTTTTTACTTAATGATAATCCCTTTTTTTTTTTTTTAAACCAAGCAAAGGCACTACTAGAAATTTCAAGGATGATGATTCTGGCCATGGGGAGAATGAAAACAGCATTGGCAATAATTATTTTTAATCACACCCAGTTGATGTAAAAACAAATGTCAATTTTTTTCTAGAAAAAAAGAGCCAGTTCTGCGTTACATCCTTGTTAGACTATTGTGCAATTAAGATAAATGAATCTGTCTCAGGTTTAACAGAAATTCTCTCAAAAAGGGTTTGGTTACCAGTAGAGTCAATCTGAAAAACACACGAGCTGAATTTCCTCTTCCTTGGAAGTATTATTTCAAGTCTATGAGGTGGCAACAGGCCGAGAGGTGTTCACATGAAAATTAAGACTCTACAGTTTTAACCCTGGTGCCCTGAAAGATGTGCCTCCATGTATCCGAATTCCATGCAGGGCGAGAATCGGGCTAAAAATATACATACATATATGGCGCCATTCCCCATTTCCAAAATGCTTTATTGAATAAATCCTGGTACTCCCTTTTTAATTGTTTATTAGCAGTGAGATACAGCCTGCTAAGGCCAACGTCTCAGGTCATTAACTTGACTTCTCCTTAAGCAAAGTTTAGACAAAGTAGTGCTTCTACACTTGTATTTGTGACGGCTGTGTAAAAATAGGTTTTCTATTTATTTGTGCTCTGTCACCAATTTCTTTTTCCTTTTTTTTAATGGCGATTAAAGCAATATTGAACACTAATCATTCAACTAATGATTTAAGTAAGCAATCTGTTTCATAGAAACTAAAGGAAGCAGTAATAAAGCAGAGCTAAAAGCCTACTTTCAGAGCAAATATTCTCCTAATCAAAAGCTTAGGAGCAGTTTGAAAAATTTTAAATGTATTTCCTTATTAAAACATATATAATTTTAATGCCTTTGGAACACACTTTTTTAATAAAATGTAATTTTTATAATAAAATTTAAATACATAAGTATAAAAACTACTGCTCCTAGAATTTAAAAAAAAAATAGGAGCATGATAAAATATCAGGAGCCAAAGCTCCCTTAAGAGAGCAACTCTGATTCTATGAAGTGCGATATATGTGTGTATGTGTGTGTGTGTATGTGTGTGTGTGTATAATATATATAGTGAAACCCCCATTTACATTATTACAATTTACATTTCTCCACAAATTATACTACTCCCAAATATTTTAAATAATGTATTATATTCAGTAATCTGCACTCATTTTTAAGAAATTCTTGGTAAACATCACAATCTGCAGTGATAATTGGCCCTATTAATGAAAAAAGAAGCTTCTGTATAGGGCTAATGAGTGCTCAGAAATATTTTTTTCTTTTTTTTTTTTTTTAAGAGATATATACTCTTCTATAAACCTTCCCCTTCATACCCACCCCAAAAGACAGGGTCCCAAAATAAGGTGTTAACAAGTGCTTAATAGATATGTTTCAGAGGCTGATGTCCCAACCAATATTTAGAAAAGTGTAATTTGACCTTCAAAAAGGTTATGGTGGTTGTCTAATCTGAGGAAAGCCCACAGTAACTATTTTATTCAGTGAACACAATATTCTTGGTTGTTACTTTCACATTAACTAAGACAGTGCTTGTTTTGCTTTAGATTTCCCCCCCCTCTACAAATTCAACTGATTTGCAACTCTCCCCCAATTTCCCAGAGACGTGTAAAAGTGGGGTTTTACTGTATATATTTTTAGTCGCTTAAAACCTTGTGGTCATTCCTCATATAGTTTTCTAATGCATTTAATTTTAAAGTCTCCATCCGAAGAGAGCAAGGAAAGATAAATCAACACGGAATAAGAAAGTTACCATAGGGGTAGGGCTATTGTTTTGTTTTCTGCTTTGGGCTCTTATGGGAGAGAAAACTGTATTAAGTTCAGCAAGAAGTGATGTGAGCAACATGCTTTTCCTTTACTCCTGAAGAGTCTAGTTTCCAACCCTGGCAACAAGGGCCAGGATCCCTAGACCAGTTCCCAAGCTGAACCAAGTGCTTTACACATCTATCTTTCTTCTAAGGAGACTATCCCACAACAGAAGAGACAGTCCACTCTGGGATAAACACCCCTGACATCTGTGGTTCCACAGTGGCTCTCGATTCTGGACTAACTGTGGACTGACAATTAAAATAGAATTGCTGGCTGCACCTGACCCACCCTTTGGCCGTGCAAGATGAGAGAGATCTAGCCATATGTCGACTCTGAAGACTCCGATGCTGTAACATGATGAGTACTATTAAACTGGAAAGAGAGCAACTTTGCAACGTGGCAAAATATCCTGTATATGAGTTTTAGGCCAACTACTGAGCAACATGGAATGCCGTGTCACCTCACCAGGAGTCTCTTTTTGCTATAAACACTGGTGCTTTGTGTTTAGGTTTTGTTTTCCTTATATGTGCATAATATAGACGGCAAATATTTGAGCCAGACAATAGCAAAATCTTCAAAATATACTGACCTGAAATTACGGTATATCTAAGAAACATCTATTATCTCTCCAAACTGGATTCTGAATTCATCTGAAAACATTTGCTTAAGAATCCATTTAGAGACTAGTAAAAATTTAAAAACTCAGGTTATTCATATACATTTTAGAAAATGTACATTCTATCGCAAACATCTTTAATGAGCCAAATGTCAAAAGGTAGAGCCACTGTTATTGGACAGAACTGAAAATTTTAAGATCTCAAAGCGATTTAAACGTGGGACTCATAAGACTTTACTGCTAATAATGGCTTTCCTAGAGGAAAAATCATCTTAAAATATGACAATTGGCAGTGAGTGTGGACAAAATACCCAGGTAAACATAACTGAATGCAAATGGTTCCAAAGCTCATGTATAAAGCCTGTTTCTATTTCATACTGGCTTAATGAAAATTGGTACTGTACAAAAGCAGAAGTTTTTATGCTGTTTTAAAGTAGGCACTAAAATAAAAATGGTCATCTAAGGCAGGGCTACACATAGGTTTCTGTGATCAGCCCACGTCTTGGACTCCTACTGAAAAGCTTGATGGAAACGTGGCAGTGTGGTGCTCGTGCTGAAGCTACTGGTGAACGCTGCTGACAGGGAGTGCAGGGAGCCGAGCCCTAGAGTGTTTGCAGGATCCTGAAGATCCTGTGTCTGGGGAGGCAGCTGAGACACAGAAGAATGTGCTTCTTCTTGGGAATAGCTCATTCCGAGGCTCCCCACTGAGATAGGATTATAGGGAGGGCCATTGAGGGGTATGAAATTAAACAACTGGGAAAAATCCAAGGCGGGCGTGTTCAGGGGGTCACTGATAGAAATAGAGCTTTTTGACAGGGAGAGGTCCCCTGCACCATCATCGAGGGACCCAACCTGAGGATCCAACCCTAGTTTAGATGATGATGCTTGGGAATCCTGGGATGAGGAGGGCACGCCACCTTGCAGCTCCATCAGATAACTCTCAATCTCCCCCTTTAGTGGCTGTTCTTTTTCAGGAATAGAAATGGCATATGAGGTAGAACTGAATGGGTATTTGAAAGAAAGGTGGTGAGAAGGATGGACAGCGTCCATATCTATCGGGCACGTCATTCCCAAAGGTAAAGTCGTGATCATTTGGTGGGCAGGTCCCGAGCTCTGCATGGACTGAAACGGAGTGTTATAGAGGTTTAACTGCAGAGTGTTTGTGAATGGCTTTGACAACAGTTCGCTGGAAGGTAAGGACATCACCGGCAGGAGCTCATCTTTTATAGGCACAGAAACGTTGCAGGTGAATGGATCCAGAAAGTCCACCGGTTCTGTTTTGACCTTCAGAAGTTCTTGATTGTGACTCTTCTTCATGTGTCGAGTCAGGTGATCCTTCCGCCCAAATCTCTGTGCACAGTACTGACAGAGGAAGTCCTTCCTTCCCGTGTGCACCACCATGTGTCTCCGGACGTCCTTCCGGGTGTAGAAGCGGCGATCACAGTGCTCGCACTGGTGCTTTTTCTCTTTCACCCCGCCGGACGACTTGCCGGCATGCGATTTAAGGTGCTCCAGCAGCACTCCCGTGCTCTCGAAAGTCTGCAGGCAGACCTTGCAGGTGAGGTCGCCGCTCGTCGCAGCATGCAAGGCCAGGTGACGCTTGAAACCGAGCTTGGTGTTGTAGTTCTTGCCACACTCTTCACACTTAAACGTCTCTTTGTTGGGGTCGTGCGTATGGAGATGATTCTTCAGGTGATCTTTCCGGTGAAACATTTTCTCACAATAATTACACTTGTGGGTTTTCTCAGGAGAATGAGTAGCCATGTGCCTTGAAACACAGACATATTCTGTCAGTATCACGACACAAATGGCAGGGAGTAACTTTTCAAATGGAAGCTAAGCTGCTATTCTAACACAGAGGCTCCCTGCTAACGGACACGCTTTAACTGAACATGCGCTACGAGGACAGTCAATACCCCTCAGCGCTGCAGAGCTCAAGCCGCTGAAGTGGCCACTTCAGGATTCGCTGGTTTGTAGCTATTACTACAGCAGCCAATGAGTGAGACTCAACATACTCACGTAAACGTCCATACCCTCTCCTTGTACTCTCTTTGCACAAACGGAAATTCTACTCTCAGTAAGCATTTCATTAAAAAAAAAAAAAATCCAAAGACACTAAGACATCAAAGTATGTGACTTAGAATACTAAAGCTAGCCAACGTCTAATCTACGTTAACATTTCCTCTCTGCAAAGCAGCTCAAGAACGTGTATACAATCATATATACGTTTACAATGGCTTCACATGGGCCAACATAATAGAAAATATAATCTGAAAGACAAATAGAGTTTAATACCTTTGTAATTTGTACTTAGAAACAAAGGCCTTGGTGCAGTCTTGTTGTATGCACTTGTAGGGCCTCTCTCCTGTGTGAGAGTAGGAGTGAACCTTTAATTTCTCAACACTGTTAAAGGCCTTGTCACACAGTTGGCAAGGAAAGTTTTTTCTTGGTTTGGTTTCACCACGCTTACGTTTCCCTGAAGGGACTTTCTGGGTATCTCTTACTTCTGACAAATCACCAGGAATGACAGTGGCCATCGCAGCCTAAAGCAGGCCTTCTTGTTGGACACTTGGGAACTGCCCAACTCCACTAAATGATTTAGCTTTAGGTGGCTTCTCAAGTTTCATGTGGTCGTAAAAGAAAGCAAAAAGGGACTGGAAAAAAAAATAAGAAACAACTAGTTTGTAACTAAATTTAATTTTTTAAATTTTTATTTGCTATGTGATGCTTTTGAATTCAAAAAGAAACCATAAAATGGATTCAGCTGGTCTAATGTAATATCTGTAGGTTTCTTTACATTTGCCAAAATACACATTAATGCATTGCTCAGAATGAACAGTTCACACCCCACCCCACCCCCCACCCAGAAATTCCACCTGACAAATGTCGTACTTAGGGAAAGCAGTAGTGATTTCAGGAACTCTCACGAAGCATCAAAACATGACACTCAAAGTAGCATTATGAAGCTTCAATTTTGACAAGGGATTAGACAACAGAAATCTGATTAAGAACAGAAATATGTTTCTGCAAATATCTTAAGGTCGAAAAAGCCTCTTAACTTGTGCAAGTCAACTCTAGTCAGACTCTGTGTTATAGAGAAATACAGGTAAGAGACTGGAAACTCTTTTAGGCACCCTGTGAACCATTTGGTCCATGGAAGAAGTGCTTAATGCAGACTCGGGAGGCCTGAAAGAGTTGAAGGCACCACCCAGAGTGGAAATTTGCTCTCAATACCAGTGTCATCACACATAGAGGGATTTCCAAGTCAAGAGTGGAAATGACTTCTCTTCATAACAAATATGCATTCTGGAAATGGTAACACCTTGTGAAGCTATTTGAGGTGAGGATGAGGGCTCCTTATCATTTGTGGGGGGGGAAAGATTCGGTCGAGGTAATTTTCCTCACCTTTTTGCACATCACAGAAAATGATTCTGTTCATTGGGCACACTGAGGTTAGTGGATGAGCCAGAGTCCTCAGGCCTCCCCAAGAGCTGAGGGGATCAGTCTTTGGCACACCTGTAACCCGTGGGCAGTACACCAGTGCGACTTTTGGCTTGGAGCACAATACCTGTGCGAGGACACATCATTATGGAGGCATTTCAGGTAAAAGGTGTATCAGAGTTTCAATTCACCACGGGTGCTATGAGGAAGAATGACATGTACGGATCGTACAGCAAAGATTATGTCTACTTAAACAAAAATGTTTAAATTGATTGGAACCTTTGGAAATTCATGGACAAGAGATAGTGAATATTATCAACTGTATTTCTCAGAGTAAGAAACCAACTCCCCAAAGATCCACCTGATATAAAAGTTGTTAAAGGGGACTCAAGTTTCATGAGTGCCAGTCTGGAAACGTACTCTTAAGAGACACAGAAATGTCTCTTAAAAAAGATCTGCTTTTTGAAGTGAAAACTGCGCGTGGCTAAATGATGATTAATCAACTACAACTCAGTTGGATTTTTCATGCTATTATGTATTTAGAAACAAACAAAAACCAGTTTCTTTATAGACCTTGTTTTGGCATTGGACTAACCCTAGTTTGCCTTTACGAGCGAGGTATGTCCCACTGAGTCCTGCAGATTCCAGGTGTACTTTTGCAGGGGCCCTAAATTTAACCTAATTTCTGTAAGACTACCTGTATATTACAGTAGATCCTGCTGTGCTTTAATGTAGAGGCTGTCACTAAACAGGTGAAATAGGGCAGTTATCCACTCACTTGATTAAAAGGTAAGGCCTGTGGGCAAATTAACCAGTGTCTGCTTTGTGTACCCTTTCTTCCTCAGTAAGGAGACACAGACAAGGCCTTCCCTTCAAGCTGTGCAAATTGTCTAAATCTCCTCTGCAGTTTAAAAGTGACGTTAACACAGTTAACACAACTGACATTACTAATATGCTAACACAATATGCTCCCCTGGTTTTAGATTTCCTGAACTTCAGGGACTTGTTCTTTCCCTGCTATATTCCCATTCAAGAGCCAGCTTCTCTAGCTCTCCCAGAACTATCTACGCAGCTATTCTTCTGTGACCGGCAATGACACTGTAAATTGGTAGAAAGCACTCTGCCAAGGCAGGAAAAAAACAGTAATTCTGACTCTTTGATTTCCTAACATGATGCTTTTATGCACCTATTTAGAGCACTGTGGGAAATAGGCTGATAAATCTGTCAACTGTGAAATCAACACAGAATGCAAAGTATCTAAGTCCCTGTATATAACTAGTATCTGAAAATATTTCAAAGACTGGTCATATTTGTCATTGTTGTGTTAAGAGTTCCAAGCATAAGGAGCAGAGAATTCCAGTTGAGAAAAAAATAACTTCTAAGTCAGTGAACAAAAGGTATCGAAAGTACACCATGAAACAATATACAAACATTTGATTATATTAAATTTGGTGATACTCAATAGGGAGTAACAAGTGAATTGTGTTATCTTTGCATGTACATACTGAGCAATGAAGAACTGTAGATTTCAAATATTACACTTTTCTAAGACCAGCTGAAATTTTTTCATGGCTAATAATATCTTTTCATCTCAACATATTACAAAACTCAAATTAGTTATAGGTGCATTTAAAACTACAGGATAATATAAGGTTGTGAGCTCAACATTGAATAAAAGTCCACATTCATAATATGCATATCAAATACTTTAAGGATACATGCACAGAACTGTAGTGATTCTTGTTCATTGCATACCTGATGACAGATGGAAAAAGCCTCAGACCTTGATCTTAGCCAGTCCCATTGACTCTTCGTGGAAGAGAGCGGAATCCAGTCCTTCCCATTTTGGCCGATCTGTGAAACAAAAAATAAGAATGGACTACACTCTAAATGGAATCAGTATGTAAATGATGGAAAATAAAGGATAAAAGAATTGCAATTTCATGGCACATGCTTACATTCCATACTCTGCTGACGAGTCATGCATTAATTTTCACCAGTTGCAAATTTTTATTAGTTCTAAGCACACTTACATGACCAAATAAATGCAGAAACAAAAAGTAAAGTAGTATTACCTATATAAATGGCATTTTGTGATGCTGAATGACTCCCCACTTCTTTCCCAAATTCAGTTTTTAATTTTTTTAAATCTAACTTGCCTACTGAGAGAAATGGATATTAGGGTTACTCTCTGTAAACCAAACTGATCAAAATTTCATTAAGCTTAATAATTTCATGGAAGAGACAAATTCCGTGCATCTGGAACCTCACCAAAGAAGAGCAGACTCCTGAAGAAAGCACCTCATCTGCCCACAGGGCACACACTTGTGCAAGGCGGGCCTCTCTGAGCTGCACTTTTGTTACCCGCAACACCTGCTGACTTATTTCTCAGAACGCTGCAAGGATTGCTAAAATTTAACAATAACTCTGCACTCTTTAGATTTCAAAAGCATGCAAGGGAAGTTAAATATAGGTTTGCTGCAGAGGTATCAGAAACAAAGTATCATTGGGTTTTAAAAGATCATTGTCAAAAAATCTTAAAATATCTGTAAAAAATGCCTTGGCATGATCTTCAGTAAACTAAGAACATCCATACAGAAAAAAATCTGTTAATAATTCTTGATTGTACAAGTAAATGTGAAAAGAATGGTCAAAAGGCAGAAAAAACAACCAGGATTATCTATTGTAGAGACTACAGGGCACAAAGAGATTAATAAGCTCTAAATATTTTAAAGATGAATGTTCAGAAATCATGATTTTAAAAACATGAGGGGGATAATATAAATCAAATGGGTTAAAATACAATAATAAAAGGATTCACCAATGACAAGCTAAATGGAAACAATTTTATGTAACTTTCCAAACACAAATCTAATTAATTTCTCCTGATATCAAATTTTCACATAGAATTTGGTGCATAAATAAAATATTTGCTAGAGAACATTCAAGCATCATTACAAAAATAATAAAGGTATATCTGAAAGCAGCATTATTCTCATAGTTCAAAAAACAAGAAAAATAAATTCAGACTAATAAAAGATATTTAAAAAGTTAAAGCAAAAGCTCCATTCTTTTGTAAAGCACAGGACATGCATAAATGGAAGAACTGAATTCCGCACATTAAAATTGCAAAATAATAAAATTAACTTTGTAAATACTTACTTGCCCAGGGCACATACTGAGGTTTTGGTAGGGTAGTTATGAACATGAAAGCCTGTTTTGTGTATTGTGTTATTTTAATAATATAAATACCTTGCAAGTGTAGAGTGTTTTCATCTCTATGACCTCTCTGGAAAATTCAATGGACCCGAGAGGTGGATGCATTTATTATCACTGCCATTTTAAGGTGAGAGGCTCATAGAAGCTGAATATCCTGATAGCATGTATGTGGTCAAGAAGGGGGCATAAGCCTTAAAATTCCTTTTTCACTCTTATATGGCTGCATTCTAGGAGAAGGGTAGGTTGGCAAACCAATACCCAAGTGGATAAATCCTGTTATTACATTTAAAAGACAAGAACAGGGAATAGTGCCTATTTTCTCTATCAGAGCTGCCAATATGATCCCCAAAAGGAAACAAATATAAGACTTTGCTTCTTTTAATAAAGTATTTCAATATAGTTTAAAATTTCTATATTGATTTGAAATATTACCATAGTCTACAAATTACCCATTACTATTTTAGCCTGAAATAAAGTAATAAAGCCATCATTTTCATTCATCTTATCACAAAACATAATTCCAAAGTCACAGTTAATTTCCCTAACTTCAATCTATTTTGAGTTCTTATGAGTGACCCACCAATTTCAAAGGGCTGCTAATTATTTCCCCAAACAAAGGAAACTGGGAGCCAGTTAGAGTTCATTATTATTTGGCTTGATAAAATAAACACTGAAAGATATACCGTTTGCATTTATGTAATCCTAACTAAAATGTCAACTAAAATTGTCTGTGTTTTTTATAGCAATAAGAAAGACTTTTAAAAAGTATTGTAACTACTATTCTGAAAAGTCTACAACAAAATGTGTACTCCTATCTTTCTTTTTTATGTGTCAAAGAGCGGTTATTATGCTTTTCAAAGGATTAAAATTCTTCTTTGCCTTGATCTAAGAATTGTGAAGCAATATACCCATATGCCCATTTCAACTCGCCCTGAGAAAGTCACACTTCAGGATGCCCTTCCAGTTTTTGCTGGTACAAGAACACACATTTATTTTCTAGGGCAACTTTTCATACATAAAAACAGTAAGTAAAGGGAACATTGTGTGTGCGTGCACACACACATGTTCATTGTCCTATGTTTTACATTCTAAAACAGTGACTCACACAGAAACATAACCAGCAAAAATGAATCATACATCAGAGGGTCTACTGAAACAAATTCCTATGAGGATGCAGGCATAAGAACAGCCCTGTATTGGAAACTGTTTCGATACTTGCAATTCCGCAACTCTGACTGTCATTTGTCTAACAGCTGTGAATTTTTATACCACTTACCTGCATCAGTAATTCTTTCATAATTAAGTTAAAAGTCAAATATACACTTTGATGATTAAGGGCAAAGGCCAACGATAATCAAAGCTTTATTTATGCTCCCATATGCTAATCATAAAACACCAGGAGTAAACAATGCAGAAAATGTCAACATTTGCTTAAAACATGTTTTTCACATAAACAGGTAGCTTGCAAAAGGAAACTTAACAAGTTAATATTTTAATTCACATGTACGAAACACAATAGAGCTTGGGATAATGTGAAAGAAATGAACAAGATAACGTAACTGCGGACCAATACTGAAGTAAGGGCAATGCCATAGTTAGCACATTTTTTTGATCGTGAATGTTATGTGGAACTTTTTACAGCATTCAATTTCTGTAGGTCTGTAAAGTCCCTTATTAATGGATAATAAAAGGAGAAGTATATCTTGCAAGACTATTACAAATAGACTGTAGGGCAGAAGCTGTGTCAGTTTTATTTATTCACTGCTGTTTCCCATAAAAGTGGTTTTTTTTTTTGAATGAATGAAAATAATTAAAGCAGGGCAAGTGCTTTCCAGCATCAAAACGAACTACAGGTTTGCTCAATCACCGTAACAGACCTAGGACAGAATATACGTATCTATGTTCAAGTAAAAAACAATACGGGTATAGATACAATGTGGTCCAATAAACTAAGCCACGAGAAAGGTATTTTTGAAACTTACTGGCTATTTGTAAAGTCTTAGATTAAAACAACAGCAATTACCATAAAATCTAAAATATTGGTTTTGTTTCAGAAAACAAGCATTCTCGGATTGATCCATTGCTAAGGAATCAGTTCACATAGGTAATATCAATCCAGTCCCCATTCCTAATAAAAATTGCTAAAGTGAAACCATGCCTGGTACCCGCACCCAGGCCTGGCACAGAGCAGGAAGGATGGCTGGATAGGTAGATGGTGAGATGGGGCTGCTGATGCCTCAAGAGGAAACAGAAAGAAGCAGGAGACAGGGCAAAGGGCTGGGATTGTGCCTGATCCACCCAAGCTGTCAGTAGGTACCTAACACATTTTATGCCCCAAATACTGAAAACTACAGTACTTGTTTTCCTATAGAAGTCACAGTTAACTGGGCGCCTGGGTGGCTCAGTTGGTTAAGCGGCTGCCTTCGGCTCAGATCATGATCCTGGAGTCCCGGGATCGAGTCCCGCATCGGGCTCCCTGCTCAGCAGGGAGTCTGCTTCTCCCTCCGACCCTCTTCCCTCTCATGCTCTCTCTCCTGCTCTCTCTCTCAAATAAATAAATAAAATCTTTAAAAAAAAAAGAAGTCACAGTTAACTAAAACTGGTAAAAATAAGGCTGCCTGTTTTGAATGACTATACTTGATGTTTTCAACTTCTGAGCAGGTCATTAAAATGTAGTTCTAGCACAACCCTTTTGAAACTTAGCATAGAATTTAGCCTTACTCATATGTAGAAAGCCTCATGTTTAATATAGAAATAATAAAAGGCAACAGACAAGTGAAGGGAAAAAGCAGACCTATTTGTTTTTAAGAACTAATAGGAAAAAGTCAATGGATTCCAAAGTGGAACCAACAAATCCCAACATCAGTTCTCTGTACAATTAGGATGTTCCTTCTGGGCCACCTTGAACCCGGGTATGGCTGTTTTATTACATTTTCTAGGAGTATCCAGAGAGAAGGAAGAGAGCATCAGATTTTGTCTTCCAATTCTGAAATATTTTCATTGGTTATTTATTGTATAGAACATAAATGTCAAGTTAAAAATTTTTTTCTTCTCTTTTAAAAGCTCTCTTTTAATGATCCATAACTTAGAAGTCAGCATTTCCTTTTAACAACTGTATGGAGGATTCTTCCCCCTAAGACTGTGTAGTCTCATCAAAATAAAAAGCTAAAAAAATACACATGGGTGGTATACCAGGTAATTCCCTTTTGGTCACATAGGGCAATTTTAGTCAGTAAATTTGCAAAGAGGATGTGTGAGGGGAACTGTGCACAAAGGGAAGCAATGGTGCTTGGGAGAGAGCAAAGAATCAATGATATGTGAATACCAAGTAAGACTGCTTCATCAGAAAGAACTTTAACTGTTTTTAGAGGTTTTCCTGGCTTTGTTTTTTGGTATGAAACATTTCCCAAATATTGGTGCTCTGGCTAGGTATAAAGTAGGTGACTCACAGGTCAGCCCAATCTGAAAATTGCCTATTTCCCAAATTGTGAGGGGCTGTTTTTATGACCACTGACTTCTGATATTCCCGGGGCAACAACAAAAATGCCTGACATCAACTCCCAAAAATATTCACACGGACGGACCCCAAACATCTGGAGAACATGCTTCCATTCATTTAGGGTTAACTGCCTGAT